TTTTTGGGGGAAAAATGGGATTTTTGGGGTGATCTGAGTGGAAATTTGGGTTTTTTTTGATTGTTAGCAGCCAGGTGAGGTCATTAATTATCTTAATTGCCTTAATTAGCTGCTCCTTAACGAGCTCTGGGTGATTGGGAGGGGGTCTGGGGGGGAAAAAGGGATTTTTTGGGGGGAAAAATGGGATTTTTGGGATGATCTGAGTGGAAATTTTGGGTTTTTTTTGGGGTTGTTAGCCAGGTGAGCTCATTAATTACCTTAATTAGCCGCTCCTTAATGAGCTCTGGGTGATTGGGAGGGGGTTTGGGGGGAAAAAGGGATTCTTTTTTGGACAGTTTAGGCAAAAAAAACCCCAATTTTTTGAGGGGAAAAAAGAGAATTTTTTTGGCATTTTAGGCAAAAAAAACCCCAATGTTTTGAGGGAAAAAAGAGAATTTTTTGAGCATTTTAGGCAAAAAACCCCCATTTTTTGAGAGGAAAAAAGAGAATTTTTTTGGCATTTTAAGTGAAAAAAACCCCCAATTTTTTTGAGGGAAAAAAGAGAATTTTTCTGGCATTTTAGACAAAAAAACCCTTTTTTTTTGAGGGAAAAAGAGAATTTTTTAGGCATTTTAAGCAAAAAAAACAAAACAATTTTTTGAGCGAAAAAAGAATTTTTGGGCATTTTAGGCAAAAAAACCCCAATTTTTTGAGGGAAAAAAGAGGATTTTGGAAGGGATTTGCGTGGAAGCGGGGAGTTTATTGGCTCGCTGGTGTCTGTGGCCGTGGTGATTAATTAATGATGCTAATTAGGGGCACGGAGACGCACCAGCTGGCCGAGGCTAACGAGCGCAAGAACGAGCGGCTGCGCGCCGCCTTCGGCATCAGCGACTCCTACGTGGACGGCAGCGCCTTCGACCCCGCCCGCAGGGCCAGGGAGGGGCCCCCCGAGCCCCCCGAGCCCCCCAGGTACCCCAAAAACAAAATCCCCCCAAAATTGCCTCTAAAAACCCCAAAATTCCCCCTAAAAACCCCAAAATCCTCCAAATCCCCCCCAAACCCCCCAAATTTCCCCAAAATCTCCCAGAAATCTCTCAAAATCTGCTCACAAATCCCCCCAGAACCCAAAAAGGTCTCTCTAAAAACCCCAAAATTCCCCCAAACCTGCCCTAAAACCCCCCTAAAATCCCCCCAAAATTCCCCCTAAAAACCCCAAAATCCCCAAATTCCCCCAAAATCCCCAAATTTCCCCAAAACCCCCAAATTTCCCGTCCCCAGCGCTGCCCCCGAGGAGTCGAGCTCGCGCTCGCCGTCCCCCAAGCAGAAGAAGAAGAAGAAGAAGAAGGATCGGGGCAGGTGGGGAATTCGGGATTTTGGGGGGAATTTTGGGGGAAATTTGGGAATTTTTGGGCAAATTTTGGGGGGAATTTTGGGAATTTTGGAGGAAATTTTGGGGGAAATCTCGGAATTTGGCGGGAATTTGGGAATTTTGGGGGAAATTTGGGGAATTCTGGGTGAAATTTTGGGAATTTTGGGGGGGAATTTGGGGAGTTTTGGGGGAATTTTGGGCCGTCCCCAGCGCTGCCCCCGAGGAGTCGAGCTCGCGCTCGCCGTCCCCCAAGCAGAAGAAGAAGAAGAAGAAGAAGGATCGGGGCAGGTGGGGAATTCGGGATTTTGGGGGGAATTTTGGGGTTTTTGGGGAATTTTGGGAATTCTGGGGGAAATTTGGGAATTTTGGGGGAAATTTTGGGGGAAATTCGGGAATTTGGGGAATTCTGTGGGAAATTTGGGGGAATTTCGGGAATTTGGGGGGGATTTTGGGGGTTTTGAGGGGAATTTGGGCAGATTTGGAGGTGGAATATGCAGAATTTTGGAATTTCAGGTGGATTTTGGGTGGAATTTTGGGGATTTTGGGTGAAATTTTGGGGATTTTGGGTGAAATTTTGGGGATTTCGGGTGAAATTTTGGGGATTTCAGGTGGAACACGGAGGATTTTGGGGTGGAATTTGAGGAATTTCGGGCGAAATTTTGGGATTTCGGGTGGATTTTGGGTGTAATTTTGGGGATTTTCAGTGGGATTTGGTGATTTTTGTGGATTTCAGGCGGAATTTGGAGGATTTTGGGGTGGAATTTGGGGATTTTTGGGGATTTCGGGTGGGATTTTGGGTGGAATTTTGGGGATTTCGGGTGGAACTTGAGGAATTTTGGGCAGAATTTGGGGATTCCGGGTGGGATTTTGGGTGGAATTTTGGGGATTTCGGGTGGAACTTGAGGAATTTTGGGCAGAATTTGGGGATTCCGGGTGGGATTTTGGGTGGAATTTTGGGGATTTTGGGTCTCCCCTCCCCCAGGTCCGCCAGCCGCTCCGGGGAGAGGAAGAAGAGCAAGAAGAAAAAATCCCCCCAAAATTGCCTCTAAAAACCCCAAAATTCCCCCTAAAAACCCCAAAATCCTCCAAATCCCCCCCAAACCCCCCAAATTTCCCCAAAATCTCCCAGAAATCTCTCAAAATCTGCTCACAAATCCCCCCAGAACCCAAAAAGGTCTCTCTAAAAACCCCAAAATTCCCCCAAACCTGCCCTAAAACCCCCCTAAAATCCCCCCAAAATTCCCCCTAAAAACCCCAAAATCCCCAAATTCCCCCAAAATCCCCAAATTTCCCCAAAACCCCCAAATTTCCCGTCCCCAGCGCTGCCCCCGAGGAGTCGAGCTCGCGCTCGCCGTCCCCCAAGCAGAAGAAGAAGAAGAAGAAGAAGGATCGGGGCAGGTGGGGAATTCGGGATTTTGGGGGGAATTTTGGGGGAAATTTGGGAATTTTTGGGCAAATTTTGGGGGGAATTTTGGGAATTTTGGAGGAAATTTTGGGGGAAATCTCGGAATTTGGCGGGAATTTGGGAATTTTGGGGGAAATTTGGGGAATTCTGGGTGAAATTTTGGGAATTTTGGGGGGGAATTTGGGGAGTTTTGGGGGAATTTTGGGAATTTTGGGGGAACTTTGGGAATTTTGGTGGAAATTTGGGGATTTTGGGAAAAATTTGGGGATTTTGGGGAAAATTTGGGGAATTTTGTGGTGAATTTTGAGGATTTTGGGGGAATTTTGGGAATTTTGGGGGAAATTTGGGAAATTTGGGGGAATTTTGGGGGAAATTTGGGAGGTTTGGGGGAAATTTGGAGGAAATGTGGGAATTTTGGGGGAAATTTTGGGGGAAATTCGGGAATTTGGGGAATTCTGTGGGAAATTTGGGGGAATTTCGGGAATTTGGGGGGGATTTTGGGGGTTTTGAGGGGAATTTGGGCAGATTTGGAGGTGGAATATGCAGAATTTTGGAATTTCAGGTGGATTTTGGGTGGAATTTTGGGGATTTCAGGTGGAACGCGGAGGATTTTGGGGTGGAATTTGAGGAATTTCGGGCGAAATTTTGGGATTTTGGGTGTAATTTTGGGTGGGAATTTGGGGGGGATTTTGGGGGTTTTGAGGGGAATTTGGGCAGATTTGGAGGTGGAATATGCAGAATTTTGGAATTTCAGGTGGATTTTGGGTGGAATTTTGGGGATTTCAGGTGGAACGCGGAGGATTTTGGGGTGGAATTTGAGGAATTTCGGGCGAAATTTTGGGATTTTGGGTGTAATTTTGGGGATTCTAGGTGGGATTTTGGATTTGGAGGTGGAATATGCAGAATTTTGGAATTTCAGGTGGATTTTGGGTGGAATTTTGGGGATTTTGGGTGAAATTTTGGGGATTTCAGGTGGAACACGGAGGATTTTGGGGTGGAATTTGAGGAATTTCGGGCGAAATTTTGGGATTTCGGGTGGATTTTGGGTGTAATTTTGGGGATTTTCAGTGGGATTTGGTGATTTTTGTGGATTTCAGGCGGAATTTGGAGGATTTTGGGGTGGAATTTGGGGATTTTTGGGGATTTCGGGTGGGATTTTGGGTGGAATTTTGGGGATTTCGGGTGGAACTTGAGGAATTTTGGGCAGAATTTGGGGATTCCGGGTGGGATTTTGGGTGGAATTTTGGGGATTTTGGGTCTCCCCTCCCCCAGGTCCGCCAGCCGCTCCGGGGAGAGGAAGAAGAGCAAGAAGAAGAAGCACAGGTGAGGGGCGTGGCCTGGGCCCGACGGGGGGCGTGGCCAGGCAGCCCGGGGGGCGTGGCCAAACCCCACGAGGCGCGGGGGCGTGGCCTGGGCCCGAGGGGCGTGGCCAGGCAGCCCGGGGGGCGTGGCCTGGCAAACGGGGGGCGTGGCCTGGCAAACGGGGGGCGTGGCCAAACCACACAATGCGCAACCACCAGGGGGCAGCACCTGCATGCCATGTGAAAATGGGCGTGGCCTACTTGAGAAGGGGCGTGGCCTTTGGGACAACACCCAAATTTCAAAAAGGGGGTGTGGCCTAATTAGAGCAAGGGGCGTGGCCTCGCTAAACCCCGCCCATTTCTCCCCCTTCCCCCCAGGTCTGAATCCGAGGCCAAGAAGCGAAAGCACCGGTAAGGAGGGGGAGGGGCAGCTGAGGGGGGGTGGGCGTGGTCTCAGGGTGGGCGTGGCCTCC